GGCTTTGCTCCGCGTCTTCCTGGTCTGCAGACCAGGGAGACGCGGAGCAGCTTTTCTCGCCCGGAGTACACGGGCGGCGGGACCGCGAGGTCCCGCAGTCCGTGTACTCCGGGGCAGCCCCGTTCGTAACTGCGGATCCGACATAAGTCGGATCCGCGTAAGTCGGGGACTGCCTGTAGTCGATTAGTCAACTACTCAATAAGCCTAGGCTTATCAGGTAGTCGAGCTGACTACTCACTTCTCCCCCGTACTTGCTGCCTCTGTTATAGAAGAGAAGCAGGAACTGGTGCTGGGGGGGAACCAGCTTAAAGGCCGGTTTCCCTCCAGCACCGGCTCTATAATATGTGTGGGGGGAGATTGGGCAGGCAGAGGTGTGGGGGAGGCAGAGACCCAGCACGAGCTGGGACTGCTGAGTCCTGCCTCATGCCATGTTCCACACCTATCCCACTGCAGCTCTGCCTTTTTAAATGTAGACAGAGTCTTACTATGTTTAAAAAGGCAGAGCTGCTGCAGGGTAGCTGCGGGACCCGGCGTGAGTCAGGACTCAGTCATCTCAGCTCGCACCAAGTCTGGGGCCTACCCCCACTGCGGCTCTGCCATTTAAACGTAGTAGGAGTCGGGCTGCCTGTGCACCCAGCTCATACTACATTTAAACTGTAGAGCCTTTGGGGCCCCTTATCAACTAATCATGTGCTCAATACAAACTGTATCGAGTACATGATTAGTCAATTATCTGCTTAACATCCTTAATGACCTATAAAGTCAGAAGATCTGTCCTCTACATCCAAAACACTCCATGTACGCATATTAGACATATAAATTAAACTGAAATATAATAAAAAGCAGTAATATGTAATCAGACAACACAGAATAGCAGTGTATATCCTCTATGTAAGAGCACAGGCTGAAAGTGATACTATGGCAAAGGCAGTGAATTGCATTTCACTGGTTTAGTAACAAGTTTTAACAACCTAATACACAGTTATTATCGAACAAGTGTGCATGGAAGTGAGAGGGATAGGAATGAAGACTATATCCAAGGCATGTATTTTACCCAGAAGTAAAAAGAGATGGATAAATGAAGTACATTAACCTTGAAGCCCTTGACGTCAAGTATATTCATTCTTAAGATTTGTAAGAGACACAGAAGCTGGCAGGTTTCTGCTGCTTCATACTTCTTCGCTCTCTTTCTAACCCACCTAATACCATCTACCCCAATTCCTCTTGTTACCCTTACACCTCCCAGCAGGCAGAAAGCTCAAACCATGCTTCCTCTACTCATTTTAGAGCAGAGATAGTCTGCACTGTCGGATTCTATGCCCCAAATATTGCTCCCCATATTGGTTGCCAGGGTAAGGAAAAGGCAGCAGCATTAGCAGTGGAAAGCAATATTTCAGATGTGATAAAGTTAGGGAAGTCAACAACTTTCCACTAGAAGGGTGGCAACAGTGGGTAACCAGAATGCAGGATAGTCCCAAAGCATGCGTTTGCACTACAATTTCCTCTTCCAGAAATATCTGATGCCAACCCAGATAAGGACTATTAGACATAGTAGCATTTGGAATGAATTGGAGAACATTACAATGCAGAGTGAAGTAGAGAAAAATCAAGGAAAAGAACAAGACTAAAGGACATAGAAATAAATCAATCTAGTACCACTCTTTTCCAACTCTAAATTGGCTCCTTCACTTTAAGATAGCCAGAAGCCAGCATTGTTCTAACTCAGGAGGATGCACAAAATTCAGTGTTTAGATATGATCATTTTAAACTGATAAGCGAGATGGGATACTAATAGAGGCTTGAGAAAAGGTCTATTGAAGTATATGACTGAGTAGAGTATTAGGACAGGGATGACAGACAAGCAGAGCAAGAAAGCAAGACATAGTAAAAGCAGCAGGATCAGAGGAAAAACAAAGTGAAAACATGCTCAGATGTTGGCATGACCTGCAATGCACAGGCTGCCAAGCTCTATTAAGGCAGAGATGTAAATGCTTAAAGTACAAATAAGACTCCAACACTAGGGCAAAGGACAACACATGAGCATTATGGGTGATACAAGGACAAATATAGGGTAACCATTTTGCATGCTTTCCAAATTTGTATTGAATGACTGACAGCAGAACAAAAACTGCTATTGCTAATAAAGTAGCTTTAGTCTAATGTTTTATTTGTTGGGAGGACTGAAAATATTTGTTAAGTTGTCAATAAGAGATCCTTAAGAATAAATTAAGCCTTCATGTAATACTGACCTAGATATGGACAAAACCCTCAGACACACACTCTTATTTTTGCATGAAAGTCTACCTGTAATTTTTTTTATCTATAGCCTGTAGAATCAAATCCTAATGTGGCTTCTCAAGCAGTGTTTTGTCAGACCAAGGAAACCCTGGAGTATTACAATAATGGTCATACCTTCATTCTTTGCAATTGTTCTCTAGTGAATGCATGCTGTTTTTGTAGTGACTGATATTTTACTTTCACACTGATCAGCTGACGTTCCATTTCTGCCCTACGATCCTCCACCTATAAAACATTGTTAACACATTATTACGATGGAAATCATAATGATGGTCAATTGGATGCTAGTGTTTACAATATTAAGGTAAGAACATGAGGTTACAGTCATCACCAGTGACACTTGTGGAAGCATGGCCACAGATTACTTCACGTACCTATAAGGAAGCTAAAACAAATAAACATTGCCCTAAAGAAACAAGGTCAATGGATTATAATAGGGATATTAGCTTCTTGTACTATGGCTATACCAGTAAAGTAACTCCTAAAATCCCTTAGAAATATTGTACACACTAGATTTGCCTATTGACATCAGTGCAAGTTATCATGATATTTTTATATACAAAAAAAAAAAAAAGGTTTCATGCCAGTTACGCTAATGTAAAGGGAGAAGTTGGAACAGAACTACAACATGGCACTTCCATTAATACCAGCTAAGAAGATATGATCCCTGCGGCTGATTGAGTTATCCATTACTTGTGTTTCAACTACTAAGTCAGACAACCCCATCGGTTAATAACCCAAATACATTAGTGAAGAAAATCCAGCTAAATACTCCTTCCCAATTTAGCATTTTCATTTAGCTTAGTATAGTAGACAAAAATATGCCACCAAGCCTCAAGTTTTTCTAAAGCGGTCCATTCAGTTTTATTAAAAAAAAAAAAAAAAAAAGGCTAATTTGCACAAACAAGAAGTCAGACACAGGCAAAAAAAATTCCCTGCTTTACGGCCTTTTGCTACATGTCCACTTAAAAAAAAAAACATATCTTGGACATATAGCAGAGATGCCCTGTACTCAAACAGCTAAATACCTAAGGTAATCTTTGAGAGAGTCCTATTTTATACCTTAAAAACACAAATGCATCAGCACTTAGTGTATAACTGAAGATACAAGCTTATAGTGATTGAAGTATTTATGGCTCTCCCCAATAATGTGGTGTAACATACCTCTGCGAACAGAGAATTGCCTTTACTATTAGGGTCCAAAGCCTGAAGCTGTGCATGATCCAGCTGACCTTGAAGTGCCTGGTTAGCTTCACGAGCTTTCTAGATTAAAGCCAGATAAAGAACAGTCAGTAACATGTCTGTATTACAGGTCAGAACTATGTAGTTGACACATTAGGTAGGTGCCTCGTTGTTGCTGGAGCTTTACCATTCAGCTCAAGCCACTAGCAGAGTTCTTCCAAAACTGTTAACATACTTTAGAAATTGATTACTAGCAATTTGACAGTTCTATCAAATTAGTTGTCTGTAAGGCAAGTATAGTTAATTCTTCCTTTAGAAGAAAAAAAGCAACATGTTTTAAATTGTACTGTTTTTTTAGGCCACCAGGGTGGATGTGATAAGAGAAGATGCTAGCAAAAAGGTATTATCAGATGATGAATTTTGTTTTTTACATCTGTTTCTCACCTCATTCAAACACTAATGAGAGGAAGTAAGCAATGGAACATAAACAACAGGGAAGGAAGAAGCAGCAGAGTTAATAGTAGAAAAAAGGTAGAAATTGGATGAGCCCTCTATAAAGCCTGGTCATAGAATTCCAGCCTGAAGAAACTCTAGTGCATCTGAGGCAGAGGTCAACATGGCAACATCAAGAGACTAGGGCTCCTTCATTGAAGTGTCCTGCACAATGAAGGTCGCTGACCTGAACAACTTTGTTTCCTCTCACACAGAAGCATAACTTTCAAGTGTTCTCTATCAGGATTCCATGCAAGGAAGGACAGGAGTCTAATGAGCAAGCACAGAAGCCTGATTATCATGTGAAGTCCCTTATCAGGCTGCAGCGTTGTGGGAAGTAAGCCTGTCTCACTTGAGCGTTCCCTATACCAGACTGAATAATGAATTGCCTCCCTCCTGGAAACAGCATAAGGAAGTAACCCATACACCCCAACCATGCCAGGCCTCAGCTGCAGGCAGGTTTGCAGGGCTGCAGTTAGACATGGAAGCACTGGGATGAGCCTTCTCTACCTGCAGCTCTACAAACCCACCTGTCCCTGGGACTATACAGGAGGCAAGGGAATGGGACGCTTACAGCCTCAGTCAATGGAAAGTCCCTGCCAAAGTCCTGGCTCTGCAGGCTGAAAAGGAAGTGGGAACGGATGGACGGACTGTTAAATATTCATTGCAGAATACAAACTACACCATTATTTATCCATTTCAAGTGTTAGGAATCTAACCAGCGTCCATATAAACATCTCAAAGCAAAGAAATGCCTCACAGGGAGTGCATCTAAGCTACATAGCACAAATTGCGTAGTTTATTTCGAGGTAATTTCAAAATGCTTAGTTTGAAATTTGGCGTTATCTACACAGCGCTAAATTTCAAAATAAAAAGTGCTATTCTGAAACGTTCCTTAACTCTCACGGAACAAGGTTTACAAGGACGTTGGAATAGCAAGCCTGTTATAGTTTGAAATAATGGGCGCACTCAAAAGACGCAGAATAGCTATTTCGGGATACTTCCACCTTTGAATGTCTATCAGTTTGTGCACAAACATTCTAGAACAGTGTTTCTGAAAGTGTACCGCGGAAGCACTTTAGCTGGCTGCCCCAGTTTATGTACCGGCGCCATCGCCATGGAGCCTCGTGGCTCCCATTGGCTACGTTTCATCCTTTGCGGATAAGGGGAGCCACGGGAAGCGGCGTGGGCCGGGCCACTGCTTCCCATAGTTCCCCTTGGCAGCAAAGGACAAAATGAAGCCAATGGGAGCCACGATGCTGGCACATAAACTGGGGCGGCCAGTTAAAGTGTTTCTGAAAGTGTTTCTGTGGTACACTTTCAGAAACACTGCTCGAGGACAGTCTAAAAAGAAGCCATGTGACGGCTGTACAGTTGCAAGATTGATGTGGCCTAGTAAGCATAGGAAGTAATAAAAGTGTAAATAATATGGTAAAGGGGCATAGGGATTTCTCCTCATGATAAAGGTGCATATCACAGTTTTAAAATCCATATCCTAAAACAAGTAGTAGATATCTTCTGGAAAAATGCAAGTGATAATAAACCATCAAGGACATCATTGTAAGTTGATCTAGAAGCAGCTTGTCACCTAGAACAATTAAATTTTGTACTCAAGTGAAACACTGAATAAATGGTCAAAAGAACTGACATTTTGTATTACAGCCAGTCCCCGGGTTACGTACAAGATAGGGACTGTAGGTTTGTTCTTAAGTTGAATTTGTATGTAAGTCGGAACTGGTACATATTGTAGGGGAAACTCTAGCCAAACATTTCTCCAGAGCTCAGTTTTATTCTCCCACACCTCACTTCCCTCAGTCCTTTATTCTCAAGCTGAGGTGTCTGCTGAGAAAAGCTGCTCCGCATCTCCCTGGTCTGCTGGGGGGGGGAGGGGCGCGCTAGCTTCGCGTCTCCCTGGTCTGCTGGGGGGAAGCAGCTAGTGCGGGGTTGCCTCATCCCATTTGTAAGTAGGGATCCAATGTAAGTCGGATCCATGTAACCCGGGGACTGCCTGTATATCTTTCAACTGTTTTCCCAGGTCCCCATCTTTGTCGTCTCAATGGACCATGGTCCTCAGCCAAATTCTCTCTCAACCATGATCCAGAATCAGCATATTAACAGTAGATGCTCTTTATCTCCAGAAGCCCCACAAACTACATCAACAAACTGAGATGCCTCTTGTTTTCTTGGATAAGATGTTAATTTCAACCTCTAGGAGCTCAAAGAAAAAGAAAAAGCTGCTCTCTCAAAAGTTTATGGACACAACTTAATGCCTCAGATGATAGTATAAACCATGGGAAAAGCCAGTATCAATACATGGTTGATATTTTCAAAGGTGTTTACGAGAGGTACAAATCTCTCCCATTAATTTTCACTGAAAATATTTGGTCTCCTAAATTGACGCTACACAAAATAATTGCATGTAGAAATAATTGCTTTGCTGAGAAAATCCCTTTACTCAAGTCTCTAACTCTAGATACATAAAAAGGTACTCATGGGAAGTGCTGCATCATTAACAACCAGGCAATTGTTAATAAACCCTTGGCATTTTGATTCTCATTACCACCTCTGCATGCAAAGTGGTATTTTGATAGCAAAGTGGTATTTTGATATCTGAGGTTATGCTACTTAAAGCTATAGGCACAGTACCTCTAATGCATTGTAGTAAGAAACTATTTCTTTTTCTGTCTCTTCTTTTTCCCCCTGAAGGCGTTCCAACTGGTTGCGCAGGTTGCTGTTCGCAAGTTCTAGTTGTTCTTTACTGTACTGTAATTCATTCATTTTCTCTTCAACACTGGCCTGTCCCAAAAACAAGAAGCAGCAAATCATTTTACTTCTATTTTCTATTTCTCATCAGTAGTTAGGTACTTTGGCACCAATCCAATTTTTTTCCAGGGTAGCCTGTTCAAAACAAAACAAAACAAAACAAACAAAAAAACCACCACACTTCTCACTGCCCCCTCCAGTGGGTAAGATCCCCCCCCCAGCCATCATTTAAATAACCATATTAGTATACCAGTTTATTATTAAGATGCAGAATACTGTTCATGACTTTCTAAAACTATAAATACAGGAGGAGCTATATATATATATATATATATATATAAAAAAATGTCTTCAAACATTAATTTCAATGTATGAACATTCACTGCTAAATTATTAGTCACATACCTTCACACTTTCAAGTTCCGTTAGCTCAATCTGGAGAGTTAACATTTCTGAAGACATGGTTTCATGTACACGTTCAGACATCATGTGCAATTCTTCCGATTTAGCAGTAATGATTGCCTTCTGATGTTCCACTTTGTGCTTTAGTTGTTTCTCACTGAGTCGAGTTTCATCTAGGTCTGCTTTCAGCTTCTCCAACTTAAAGACACAATGGTTAAGCAATGGATATTACAGAAATTGCCAGAGCCCCAGGCACAACTAACAGAATATGCCAAAGACTGTGAATGAGGGTAGGCCAGCGGTTCTCACCCTTCATTGCACCGTGACTCCTGGGACTTTCTGATAATAAACACTACTACATGACTTCAGAAAGGGAAACCAAAGCCTAAGCCCTGCCACCCCCAGGTGGGAGAGCCAAAGCCTGAGCCCCATTGCCCCAGCAGAGGTACCATAACCAGAGTCCTAGGGCTTCAGCCCCAGGCAGGGGGCTTGTAACTGAGCACCTCTTGCCCTGGGTGGTGGGACTCGGGTTTCCACTTTGGCCCTGGCAAGTCTAATCCAGCTCTGGCAATCTCATTAAAATGAGGTCACAACCCACTCTGGGTCACATCCCACAGTTTGAGAACTACTAAGGCAGACTTTACAAAAATTGTAATGTGGGTATCTGCTAACCAAGTAAGCATATTCCTGACCCAAGAAGATGGATACAAGAGATATAAGCTCTCTCAAGTGGCTATGTAAACACCCACAGGAACGTACCAAACTCCCATAAAGATAAAACAAGTGACAAAAATGGATAAGGATATTTTGTTCCCATTACCAAATACGAGAATAAAAGGTGGTAACTAACAACATCTGGAGTGTAATATCTAACTTGTTTGTATCAAAGCATCAAAGGAGAAGGCATAAGAAGGATATCTTGTATCAACCTACAGGGACAATATTACATTATGTTGATTAAGCTGCTATGTTGCCTTAGGTGTACATCTCTTAGCATACCGCAAAGCACAGTTCTAGTGCCCTGGCTAATGTCAACAATAAACCTGGTCCTCACCACCAAACCAAGCATGTGGTCTTTATAAGTGACATCAAGGTCTGCTGAATCAATATGCTGCACCTTCTGCTAGGACATAATGTACCGTTTCTGTAAAAGACTATCATGAAGCCATCCACATTTTCTTGTGAAGACATTCTATCTAAATTGCACATTGCCAACAAATAGCTGGCTTGAGTAAACTGCAGAACACACACCTATCTAGAACCAGCAACATTTGTTTAAATATTGCTGATATTTTCCTCCTGAAATTCTAGGCGGCCTGTTGTCTAAGTACTAGCTGCTATTGCTATAGTACTGTAAAGTTTCACTGAAAATAAGTAAATGGTCGCAAGTGTTGACAGCTAATTGAATTCTACAATTTTCAATATAGGTATCAAATACAAAGGGAAAAACTGGCTGCACATTTGAACCTTTAATTGATTTCTTAGGGTAACAGTAGCAGTTACTACTTCAAGAAAAAAACTATTCTTCAGAATCTGGCAAATATTCCTTTATATGCATGTCATCAACATTTAACAATTCATTACATCCATTTCCCAAACCTTGTTTTTAAGTTGGCTGATTTCTTGTCCATGGATTCTTTCAAGTTGTTCTCGCTGTTTGTCCAGCTGTATATTTTGTTGCTGCTTCAGAGCATCACATTCAAAGCTCAAGCTCTCTAACATTCTATTCTTGAGCTCCACTTCTCTTTGAAGTGAATACTTCTCTTGTTCATATTTCTGAAAGACAAATGTGATGTTGATAAGTGTTGGCATCTTTTTCAGAAGCTCCTCAGGTATTGCTTTATTTTAATGCATTTAGACTCTAGATAGCCAAATACTAATAACTAGAACTTTAACTGCAGCTGACCTGTCTTTTTCAAAAGTCATCAATTGCTTAATGAAGCTTTTCATATTTGTGTTACATGAAACAGGAATCCATCCAGCATTTTTCTATAATTTATTTGCTAACTCCTATTTTCCTCTAATTCTCAAGGCTGATTGCAGAGTCCCCCACCCTCAACATCTCATGTACCTAAGTTATGTTAACGTTTGGGCACATCACTCATTAATCATCTTGTGATATCAACAATAAACTGTCTAATAAGGTGAGGAGCATGAACACAACATAAAGTGCTTTAATGTACTGTTAGTATTTAACAGTCATTTAAAAATCTGAGCTTACATGTCCTGTTGCAGCTATTAAGAAAGAATTATTCAGATGTTTACTGTAGATCAAATGTTTTCACAGCTGTTAAATAAACTGATTTGAAAGTTTGGTAGATACCACGACATAACAGATGCAAGTCCCATTTAACATTCCCGCTTCCAGTGCTAAGAACCATCTCAGTGGCTTATTAGAAGACTTCCAACATAGAATAATAGTTAACTATAAAGGAGAGATTGGGTTTCATTTCTATGCTTTCATTCAGGTGGAAATTTGGAAAAAGTTTCCTATTCCACAGGGATTATATAAAGCCTAAACCAATGGAATCTAATGAGACAGAATGACAAACATGACTCCAGAATAAATGAGAAGAATTAGGCTTCACCCAGATGGATAGAATTCTACAGATATTGGAAAAGGTCAATTTCAACTGACTTTAAAAACTGACAACACTAAAATATCCATCAGTAACATCTGGTACAAGTTAGGCCTCGTCTCCTCCCACTCTTACTCCTACATGGATCACGAGTCACCTGCCCAGTGGCTGCAGAGAACCTTCTGTCATGTGAGAGAGAGAGCAAGGGTGGAACTGCAGGGATGTTGATGCTGAATTCTAGGGATGTGAACAACTAGTCCAACAGTCAACTATGCAATAAGCAAATGTAGTCAACTATGCACATAGTAGTCAACTAGTTGTCTCCTCCCCCCCCCCCACACACACACCTGGTTGCTGGCTCTATCAGAAAGATGCAGCAAGGGAGATGGGGGGAGGAGGGGGTGCTTCAAAGAGGCAGTGAGTGGAGACCAGGGCCTGCTGGGGATTCCCCAGGCTGCACATGTAGTTTCAAAGTGGCAACGCTGTGTGGACACAGGGATCAGTCCCTACCTGATCCCAGGCTCCACAGGGTGCTGCCACTTAGGGTACGTCTAGACTACATGCCTCTGCCGACAGAGGCATGTAGATTAGGCTACCCGACAGAGTAAAATGAAGCGGCGATTTAAATAATCGCCGCTTCATTTAAATTTACATGGCTGCCGCGCTGAGCCGACAAACAGCTGATCAGCTGTTTGTCGGCTCAACGCGGCAGCCATGTAAATTTAAATGAAGCGGCGATTATTTAAATCGCCGCTTCATTTTACTCTGTCGGGTAGCCTAATCTACATGCCTCTGGCGACAGAGGCATGTAGTCTAGACGTACCCTTAGAAACACCATGGGGAACACGGCGCCAGTGGGAGACTGCCCTGCTGGGGGCCCCGTGCTCCCCGCATCACTTTCACCTTTGAAGGGTAGCAACAGCCCTGGGGATGTTTGACTGCTGCTACACTTCAAAGGCGGAGGCGCCCTTATCGACTAGTCAATGCAAATTGCGTCAACTAGTCAATTAATCGAAATTTAATATCTCTACTGAATTCCTGCAGGCACAACATGCAGTAAAGATGGCAAGGAAAGAATAGATCCCAGCCAGGACCACAAGAAGGAAGAATAGCCCTTGCAGAGGAGGAGACCACCCCCATTGCAGGAGGAATACCAGCTAATTCGAGTTAGGGCTGTAAATCGGACTCCCATTTCACTGCCGCGTGTAGACACAGGCAGTTACTTCGGGCTAGTGAATTTCTAAAATGGCGACCAGCTGGGAACATGCAAATCAAGTGCAGGATATTTAAAACCCAGGCTTGATTTGCAACTTCGGTATGCTTCATTTGCCTCCCTACTTCGAAGTAGGGGGCAAATGTAGACATACCCTGCTTTACCAAGCCAGGTCTGTAGCAGTCCTGCACCTCTCTCCCCAACACCTTGTGCTGAAGTGTCTTAGGTCTATTTGCCATACTGGGAGCCCCATTCTGCTTTCACAGCTGCCCTAATCCTCGCCCTCTTAATTTTCTGCAGCTGTAAAAACTGAAGTACTTAAAATCATAAAGAGTGTTAAATGACACTAAAGTTACAAAAAATAAAAATGTTCTGCCAAACCTAAGTAGATTAAAATAATAACATAAAACTCCACCTCAGTTTTGGTGCTCAATTCATTCTGCAGCTGATCTAACTGAATCTGCATCTCATTTTGTTGCTCCAGTATATGCAAGCCATACTGTGCTGCCTTTTTCCGCTCATCTTCTGCTTCCTTCAGTTGGCGACGAAGATTAGAAACTGCTTCTGCCTCCATTTTTCTTCTCTCACTGCAACTTCTTTTAAAAGTCTGACCATGCAAGATGAGTGAACAAATTTAAAGTCATCATTAAAACAAAGCTTAACATGAAAAACTAAAGTTTCTGACTAAAAAGAAATGAACATTCCATCTCAACATTCCAATAGGTATGGACTAGGTGTAGTGGATTTTGAAGAATAAAAAGAACTAACACTGCACATTTAAAAAAGTAAAAAGCAAGATAAACACTTCCATTTTATAACACCGGGATGGCCAGCCTCAAGCAAAATAAAATGCAGTGACAAGATTCTGAAAAGGGCTGCTGAAAAACTGGTAAACTATTTAATCAGTTGAAGATGAGAACAAACAGCTAAATCCTCAAGTGCAGAAGTTGTGAAGCCAACATGAACTGGAAACTAGCAAGTAGGCTTTGAAGTTTATTGCTGTTCTGGGACAGCCAATTAATTAAAAGATTCTATTAAGAACCTAAACAATTTTGAGCAAACAAGTCTGCTAATGCTGCTTCTTCCTCACAAGATGTGAATACAAATTATTTTCTAGTCTTGCGCAATAAATGCAGATGCCACAATTACATTATGGATTACACTCATTTTTTTAAAAAAATGGTGTTTATTAAAGTGGAGACAACTCCTTTGTGGAGAATTGTATGTCTCCTGCTCTATGGGTTTACCCACATTCTGCTTTATATTTCATGTTATGGAAGTCTCAGATGACAACCAAGCACACACTATTTGATTTAAGAACACTTTCACTGCAGATCTCACAAAAATACAACAAAGGCATCAATGTGAGATTTCTAAAGATGGCTAAAGCACTTGACAACATTTAAGAACCTGAATTACCTTCCAAAATCTGAGAGGGACGAGGCATGGAACATGCTACCAGAAGTGTCCAAAGACCAACACTACGATTTGGAAACTATGGAATCTGAACCACCAAAAAAGAACATCAACCTTGTGTTGGTAGCATCTGACTCAGATGATGAAAATGAATACACGTTAGTTTGCAATGCTTTGGATCTTTACAAACAGAACCCATTATCTGCATGTAAATGCCCTCTGAAGTGATGGTCAAAGCATGAAGAGACATACAAATACTTAGCACGTCTGGCATAAATACCTTGCAATACCAGCTACACCATCACGTAAATGCCTTGTTTTCAATTTCAGGTGACATTGTAAAGAAGAAGCAGGCAGCACTAACTGGCTGAACAAATAGGACTGAGTGTAAAACGTTAGAGCCTAAATGTACTACTTGTTTTGTTTGAGTGCAGTTATGAAAAAACACTAAATTGCACATTCATGATAAAGAGACTGCACTACAGGATTTATGATGTGAATTGAAAAATGCTATTTCTGTTTTACAACACAAATATTTATAATAAAAACATACAGAGGGTACAGTGTTCACTTTATTCTGTTGCAATTAAAATCAATCTGAAAAAAAACATCCACAAATATTTACATAAATGACATTCTGGTTTTAATCTCACAATCAATCAATCAATTTTTAATCTTTTGACAGCCCTAATTATAATCATGTTTCATCGTGTACAGGAATGTTTGAAATACAACACCCCTAACCGGGAGAAGCGGGGGGAGGGGTTTAACTTGTACCTACATAAGACGTTCAGATTGGAAGTTCAGACTTATCTATAGCAAAAAACTTTCTAACTAAAAAAGTTACTCTGAACTTATTCTACTTCCATTCCATGACTCCATTAACTTAATTCAGTTATCTAGAGCTGACCTTTGTAATGCTTATGTTACATTTAATTTTACTGACATATTAGGGACAAAATTGTGCCTAGCACCAATTTTACATTTTGAACATTACAATTATTGAGTAAACACTGAAATACAAGCCATTTCTAATATTCTGTTTGATACATTCATACTGTAATTTATTTGAGTCCAACTAAAGAATCTCAACCTTTGACTTTATTTCATTTTTTTCAAAAGTAGGTTGGATTCAGTGAACATCTCAGGACAAATACTGTCTGTGAAGGCCAGAAAAGAGTATCTGGGTTAATACTTGGGTCTATTATTCAGTGGCCTTGTTTTGTAAGATAGAAGAGAAAGGCATACAAATTAAAGAGCCAAGTAAAGCTGTTAATGAGATGCTGTATGCCAAACTACACATTTAATCTATCTGTGTTGCCTGCTATGCATACCATCCATTTAGGGTGGAGACCAACATCATAAGAGAAAGAAACAGTATTGAGAACAGAAATGCTGCCAGATGTCCTGAAACTACTAGTCAATTTCAAGTTAGAAGTGTCTCTCCTCTAAATTGGCACAATAAGGTTCCATAATTATCGCTCAATTATATATGTATAAACTTATCTTAACACAGTTGTATCAACTCGTCTTTGGACCAATATAAACTGCTTTACTTTTAGATGATACTGGAACATTAAGTCTCACTATCATATTTTAAAGGCTAGAAGGACTATTATGATAATCTCATCTGACCTGCCTAATACAGGCCATATAACATCAACCAATATATTTCTCCATTAAGTAGATAACTTCTGCCTATAGCATCTCTCTTCTAGAAAGAAGCAGTTTTTATTTAAACACTTCTAGTAAAAGAAGCCACCACACCTCCAAAGAGGCCGGAGAAAGGCTGTTCTCAGTAGTGACGGATGGCAGAACAAGGAGCAATGGTCTCAAGCAGCAGAGGGGTCGGTCTAGGTTGGAAATTAGGGAAAAGTATTTCAGTAGGAGGGTGGCAAAGCATCAGAATGGGTTACTTAGGGAAGTGGTGCAATCTCTATCCCTAAAGGCTTTTAAGTACTGGCTTGACAAAGCCCTGACTAGGATCATTTAGTTGGGACTGGTCCTGCGTTTAGCAGGAAGTTGGACTCGATGGCCTCCTGAGGTCTCTTCCAACCCGATGATTCTATGACCATGCACAGATTTGACTGACGAAAAACAAACATTTTAAGGGCCATTCTGAAGGCTTCTATTTCATAAGACTACGATGTATAAAACAAGCTAAATATAGTTCACTGCCAACGTTTCATCTGAGCTCAGCATTTTATGTGCATAGTTACATGCAGTCCCCCCACTCACTGCACTGCCACCTCCCACTGGAGGCAGGTGGCTCCGCAGTGGTTACACATTTACCTAAATAAATGCATTTTAACATCCCTATTTCATACAAGCATTGTTTTAGACTTTTCCATTAGATGATGCAAAACACATCTGATTATTCAAATAGTCGATAGAGCACCTCCCTCTGATGACCCCGGGCTCCATGTGGCACTGCCGCTTTGAAACGCCATGGGGAGCCCAGCGTCAGGTTCCATGTGGCGTTTCAAAGCAGCAACACTGCACAGAGCCTGGGGTCAACCGCGGAGTCCCCAGCTGATCCTGGGCTCCATGCGGCACTGCCGCTTTGAAATGCCACATGCAGTCTTTGCGATAGAGGCAGCGGGGGAAGGAGGCAGAGAGGAGCGCGCGACTAGTCAACTAGCCAGTCAACTATCCAATAAGCATTTGCCTATCTGATAGTTGACTTGTACTTCACATCCCTAATCCTATTTCCTAATAATCCCAATTCTTTCTATTCAAGTTATTTAGGTACAGATGCCATCTCAGGATTGGTCCTGAGTGAACAAGATAAACCTGCTATACATTCAAGTCACGTTCAAAAACAGGTGTATAGCAAAATGATATAAAGCAGGGTTTTTTTTTCCCACGGCTGATTTCCATTTGTACCATTTTTTTTTCCATGCAGTGTAAGAGCAGGGAATGGGAGGACTTGTAACGAATCAGTTCATATAAACATCAACGACAGTAGTGCGGAATTGACGTCTACTGGGGCGACTTATAGTGGATACACCCTGTATTTTAATCTAGTTGGTACTGCTAGGTAAATAAACATTTACAGTGGGATTGGGAACAGTTGGAGGAAAGTGAATGAGAACAAATTGGATTCCTAAAAGGCTTATAGTCTATTTATCTACCAAGTCTGAGGCTCATTAGTCTTAATTGCTTTTGAAAACATAGGCAAGCAGCCTGATAAGAGAAACATATGGCTAAATGGCTAACAGGTTAAGTGCAGTATAATCATCTGGAAGAGCATCACAAGTTGACATACCAAGAATTAACTATTAACAGTGGATAAATTAAAAGCCATTTGTGGGGGATTTTAATACCATAAAAAGCAGGTATCCCATTCTTCAGTCTGTTTTATAAGTCATTAAAACACTAAATAATGTTTACAGTTGCTCCTCACCGCTACACCAAAAGAACCAATAATATCAAAACCTAACTCGCAAGCAAACCCTCACCACCTTCCTAAATGTGCACACCCATGTAAATGATGGCACTGCTGTTGACAAACTCTTATTCTTCTTTTGCATTCTACAAAAATGCTTGTCTCAGTCTGGTGGCAGCAAGTTCTACAAGTTTAGTTTTTACAAAAGATTTCCTTGTATTAGGTTGAAACTGATGCCTTTCCATTTTATTACATCCCTTCCTCTTGATTTTTTTTTCACATAAATACCTATATAAGCCACAGAACTGCCTTTGAAATAAATAAAATCTTACAGAGCAAATATTGAGGTAGAGAAATTAAACTGTGGACAGAATTGGAAACAATCCAGGACTACCTGTTTTTCCTTTATAGACAGTGTATCATAACATGTGTTTTGTCACTTATAACCTCTACATCTGACCATAAAAAGCAAAGACTCACTCATACAAGAAAGTTACTGATGACTAACTAGAAATATAGGTGGTCTCCAGTGATATTTATTAAGAGATATTGCTATTATTGGCACAATATCAGATATGATTTTATACTTATATACAGGATCGTTTTTCCCAACTTTCTTGTTCGATGTTAATAAATGAATTACAACTAACAGCTTGTAGGCTGTCTTCATAAAGGAAAAAAAATACGATTGAAAGTACTACAGAAATGCATCTTATCCTATATTCTAAAAAAACCCACCGCTTTTTGAGTGAGAAAATGTTTCTAACTCACCTTTATCCTCAATGTCCAACTTTTATTTAATTTATATGAATAAAGTTTCTGCTCATAGTTCAAATTGGTCAGAATCAGACTTTTCTCCGCACTCCTTTCAGGTCTGTTGCTGCCTTTTGGAAATGCAAATTAGACTGAAACTGCATGGAAATGCAAATCCCATCCAAATCCCATTTGAAGCAGCTGTCAGCTAGTACAGGGACAGCAAAACCACACAAGGCTGCCAAGGGGCAGACTCTATCCAGCACTAGTCACCACTGAGTAAAGAACAGAATGCTGTATCCCTGGCTCTCTATTCGCCACACAAACACAATCTGCAAATGTCAACCTAACCCCTACACACTTTTAGATCCTGAGAGGGAAGGTGTTAAGAAAGGCAAAGGATAACCATAAAATAAAATCTAGACAATTCAGAGGGAGGGAAGAGAAGAGTAAAACATTTCAGGGGCAATATCATCATAAGACTGAGTTGCCATAACAGCCAGTGCTGGGAGGAGGGAGAATTGTGACATTTTGCTGCTGCTTGAGAGAACAGAACAGCACGGACAATGACATGCATGTTTATCACTTAAACTGGCATCTACAGTTTCAGGAGCTTTTACCCATGATCAGCTGCCAAAATGTTACACATCAAGGTCACTGTCTACACTAAATCATATTCAATCCATGAGGTTAATAAAACTATTCAAGGTCATGCTAAAATACTTGTATAGTTATATAGTAAACACAAGCTTACGGTTTAGAGTAACAGAAGCCACGAGAACAGCAAATTTATTCAGCCGCTATTAGGGATGTAAAAAAGCGTGTAATTTGTTAATCATGTAGTCAACAAAAATTTTGTCAACTACATGATTAATTGATAAGAGTTAGAACTGCAAGCACTCAGTTACAGTTTGTGCTGGGTCCGGCAACTACCCCTGCTCAACTCTGCACTAAGAGTAATCTAGGAGCCAAGCGGGCAGGCAACCCATCTCAGCCTCTGCTCCCACCAGGTCCTGGGACCTACCCCACTGCGGCTCTGCAATAAAAGTAATTTAGGTGCCGGAGTGTAGGCAGCCCACTTCAGTGCCAGCTCCTGGGGCTGGTGCAAGCTGGGATTGAGGTAGGCTGCTTACCAGCACCTAAATTACCTTTATTGCAGAACAGCAGTGGAGTAGCTCTCACTGAGCCAGGTTGCTGTCAGCTGTCTAACAAGTTCCCTGGCAGAGTTGCCGGGTGTGGATGGGATGTGTAGTGTCGGGAGCATTAACCAATAGGTTTTTGCTTATTGGTTAATCATTTAACCAACTACACTTATTACATCCCCAGCAGTTATATGGCAGAACTCTGAGCAGCAGCTGAGTAGCATGAGTTCTGTCTACAGTTTCTGGAGGAGAGCAAGAGAGCATCTGTTTTCAAAGCCACAAGGACTGAACTTGTTTTTAAACAAAATCCTACACCACCTTCATTTCCCCTCACTTCACTGTTTTTTTCAAGCTGTGTGGAAAGAAATCTGCAGCCCACTCCCATTCACAGCTCTTAGAAGCTACAAAAACTTTAGTAACTTACCTAAAGTAATGCTTCTTTGAAAACAATTTTTAAAAATATTTTTTACACCTGAATATTAAAAAAAAAACCTTAATGCTAGACTGATGCAACCCACATCCAATTTCTTTTTTTATTCTTATCTAGCAGATTTACCCAACATTGTTCAGGTCCTTAACTATTTTTTAAATAAAAGGAATGATTATTGAATTTACTGTATTTTTAAAAAGTGTTATTTTTATTAAGTTAATTTTAGTAAATTTTGTAAATGGGAATTCCATGAAGTGTATTATTTTATTAGTCTCTTATTATTTATTAACTCATATTTTTCACTATGTTTTAACAAAAAAGGACTATAATCAATTTGATTTCCAAAAACGTTTTCTTCTATTTTTCAAACCTTAAGCACTGATTTAAAGCACTACTCCAAATTTCTCTGTTTTATTTTTTTTTCCTGTAAGGTTTATTGAGAAGCAATCCTGTGTCAGGTTCATTCTATTTTTCTGGCTCATCTTAGTTCAGTCTCTTTCAACATTTGCTGTAATGTCAATTTTGAGGATTGTTCTCGATTTGGTGATACTGTGTCTTTTAGGTCTGGTTTTATGAGAAGCAATCCCATTCTAGGCACATCCCGGTTTCCTGGCACAACCAAACCCTTACATTGCTTTAAGAGGAAGCAGTGTATCTATCTCTTACAGTTTAGGAGGAGTTCCTGATCAAACAAACTCTCCTGCCTGCCTTGCTCCTAATACACTTTAAACGCAGAGTCACAGTGGATGTAGGTCCAGGACACAGTGAAAGCCAGGACTGAGCTGGGCTGCTGGCCAGCCTGCTAAAAAAAAAAACTTACTGGCAAGTGGTGGTGCTGAAATGTATGCAGTCTATAGCATTAACCTATACGCTTTTGCTTATCGATTGACTACATCATTACATCCCTACTCTATATACAGGCCATCCTCACTATACGTCCAAGATACGTTTAAAAATAAAAAAATCCCTTGGACTTATAGCCTAATAACTTAAAGCAGGGAATATTTTTCCCACGGCTGACTTCCATTTCCACAACTTGGGTTTGGGGATTTTTTGCGCAACTTAAGAATGGGGAATGGGAGGACTTATTAGTTCCTACAAGAGTCAACATCTTTAGTGCGGCTGTATGCCAGGGATACCCTATAGCAGATAACAAGGATGTTAAAATGTGGTTAAGTAACCATGTAACTTCTGAAAATTTCAGCAGTTACATGCGGGGCAGCAGTCAGCTACCCAGGAGCATACCAGCTTCTGCATGCCTCCTCCCCACCCTCCCAGACCTGCTGTTGCTGCGCAGAGGAGGCAGGGGGGCAGGCGGCTCTCTGGGAGCCAGTGCACACACAGGAAGACAGCTTTTAAGCCAGCTACCTGTGCATACTGGGAGCCTGCATGTAACCATGATGTTAATCGATGAGCTCAGGCTCATCAGCTAACCATATACATGGTTACACTATCACATCCCTAGTACATAATAGTAATAACAGGACAGAGTGCAAAGTCAAATTACCTTCTGATTGTTGTATAGCACCTCTATTCATAATAATTAATCCTCTCCAGATATTCCAGCCACTTCCTTCAATTTAACAAGAGACAAAACATCCTAAGGATTAGGAATGTTAGATAAATTTTATTTTAGTAATAATGTAGCTGAAAAAAAAATGTTAGTTATTAAAATACTCCCTGGGGGTGGCACCGACAGTCAGTGCACTCCAGCTTCCAGCTCAACTCCAGAGAAGTCCCTGCCTTGCTGCCTGTCTGTGATAGGAACCAGTTTAAAAATCTGCTCCCCATGCAGACCAGTTCCCAGCTGCGGTCCAGTGCTGCTGCCTCTGAAACAGAAGCAGCATCCCCTCTCTGCTGGGGAGTAGGCTCAGTCTCACCACAGACAGACACTGCTCCAGCACCCTGCCTGCTCACCTCCCCTGCATTGCTGCCTCTGTGGGAGGCAATGGGGGCAATCAGCTCTGCAGGAACCAACCTGCATGTGGAGCAGGTTTAAAAGCTGGCTCTCCATGGATACTGGCTTCCACCTCCCCAAGGCATATCCATTAATCATTTAAACAACCATGTGCTAACATCCCTTGTAAGGACAAGTTTACTTCCCACAGTAACTGCTGTTGTCACCTATCATACTTGCCAGTCTCTCTAGGCCAGTAACATTTTCATAAGTGCCCTATTGACCTGGAAGCCAAAAACCCACTTTTGGATGTTGCTTCTTCAGAACAATGACTCGTAACCTTTCCAAACTACTGTACCCTTTCCAGGAATCTGATCTCTCTTACATACTCCAAATTTCACTTCCCTTAAAAATTACTTGTTTACAAAATTTGACATAAAAATACAAAGGTTAGACAGAATGGGTAGGAATGGCGTCTCTAGCCTCTGTTTCTCTGGAAGTGGGTGATGGGAGGGATCATGTGAAGATTACCTGTTGTGATCCCTTCTTCTGGGACATCTGGTATTGGCCACTGTCGGCAGACAGGATATTAGGCTACATCAGTGGTCTCCAATCTTTTTATGACAGAACAAGCCAAGCTCTACCGCCCCACCCCTTCCTCTCGATTCTCCTCCTCTCCATCACTTACTATCCCCAACCCTTATACTGCTGCTTTTTTTCCACAATTCTTCTGCAGGAAGAGGTTTTTCCAACATTTGGCCTGTCTAAGCTGGACCAAATGTCAGAAAAACCTCTTCTTTTGGAAGCCCCCTTATTCCTCATGGAAAGAGGAATATAGGGGTTACCGAAAGAGCACGTTTGCTCTTCCACTAAAAAAAGCAGAACAAATGCGTCCCTGGATGCAGAAGAGTTTTTCTGGGATATCTCCGGAATCCAGAAAAACTCCTGCAGTCTAGCCTTACCCTCGCTGGGTTGAAGCAGAATGTGTAGGTTCTGGGGTGGGAATGAGGGATTTGGGTGTGGGTAGGTGTGAGAGATGAAAGCTCTGGGAAGAAATCTGGATACAGAAGGAGGTGGAGAAGGGGATGCTGGGTCGGGGAGGGGGCTTCAGGCGGGCCAGTGTTGGGGTCAGATGTAGGATTAGGGTACTAAGCAAGCCACAGGCTTGTGAATAGGAGGGTGCAGGAATTTGGGTTAGAGTAGGTGAGGGGTTCAGGGCAGGGGATTCCAGTGTATGATAGGTTCAGCTCGAGGGTCTGGGGGAGGGGGAGTGCAGGAGTGTTATGATGCTGTGGGCAGACGGGGGCTCGGTCCCAACTGGGGGTTTGTTGTCCAGGCTTCATTTTTAAATAAAATACTATGTCAAACACAAAAAGTTTATGAGAAGGGCAGGGAACCTGTTTTGAGTCAGGGATCACTGACCCACAGAAAAGTCAGTTGGGGCCACACAAGTGAGATGCAAAATAAAAACTCCTCCAAACCCCCCACAAGCCTCACTAATGTGGCCCCAACTGTGCTGGTGGGAGCAGGGCACATGGTATTGGGGAAGGGTGCCAGGGGGTACTGGGACAAGGGACAGGGTGCTTGTAGGTGCTGGGGAAGGAGACTAGGTGCCAGGGCAGGGGAGAGGGTGCTGGGGCAGGGTGCCAATGGGTGCTGGGGCAAAGTGACAGGGGGCTGGGGCAAGTGACAGGGGGCTTGTGGGTTCCGAGGCAAGGGTCTGGGACAGAGGATGGGGTGTCAGTGGAGGCAAGGGACAGGGTGCTGGGCTGGGGACAGGGTGCCAGTGGGAGCAGAGTGCCAGTGGGAGCAGGGGGCAGGGTATCCTGGGCACGCGCCTCCCTCCCCTCCCAGAAGAGGGAAGCTCTAGCAAGAGCCTCCTCCCAGGACACGTCCCTCCTCCCCCCCAAAGGAGGAAAGCCCCGGCACACGCTTCCCCCGGGACTCCTACCTCCTCCCCCACAGAGGAGGGGAGCTCCAGTGTGCACCTCCCTTCCCCTCTCCCTCCCCAGGAGGGAAGCCCTAGTGCACGCTCTCCCCCAGAACTCCCCCCCTCCCCGGCGCACGCTTGCCCTCGGGACTCCTACTTCCTCCCCTGCAGAGGAGGGGAGCCCTGGTGTGCGCTTCCCCACCCCAGGACAGAAGCCCTAGTGCATGCTTCCCCCCAGGACTCCTCCCTCCCTCCCCAGTGCACGCTTGCCCTCAGGACTCCTATCTCCTCCCTAGCAGAGGAGGGGAGCCCTAGCGTGCAACTCCCCTCCCTCTCTGCCCCCTCAAACCCCAGCACGCGCCTTCCTCCAGGATTCCTACCTCCTCCCGGCACACCACAGACCTGGAGAAGGGGAGCAGGCAGCGCACTTCTGGAAACCCCGGAAGTAGCGCACAGCTACCGGATTTCCCTCCACCCCGCGGGAAGCCAGCACTACCACTAGTGGGGTTTCTTGGGAGTGGGGGGGGTATTGGGGGAGCCCCGAATACCTTGCAATCGACTGGTCGAGACCTCCTGATCGACCAGTTGATCACGAGCGATGGGTTGGTGAGCACAGGGATAGATGGACCATTGGTCTGACCCAGTATGACCATTCTTACATTCTTATGTAAAGATGTCACAGCGAACTATTAGTGAAAAATTTGAGAGGGGTTGCCGGAAAATTTTAAGATGCTTCTAGGCTATTAATTGTTGAAGATTTTCCAGTTACAGACCAACAAAACATGTAGATGGCGTCATGAGCTTCTGTGGCCGCAACCCCCTGCTTCAAATGACATGGAAAGAAGTGGGTTTTGCCCACAGAAGCTCATGACACCATACGTGTTTTGCTGCTCTTTACAGTGCTGCTGGGTTATTACGGAACAAGTTCTTCATTTCTCATTTGCACCATGTCAGTTGGAATCAATTCAACGAAACCTAAGCCCTGTGCTTACACTTCAGCACAGGGAGCAGCTAGTGGAATGGAAGTTTAGTTCGAACTCCTTTCTCTCGCCTTTTTATGCAGCCTAGGAGAGACCTCGGTAGATATGTAGAGGAGCTCGGGAAGGCGTCTGGACAGCCCCAGGGCGGTGCATAGCCCCGGGAGACCCGCTGCTCGGGTGACCCCGCCTTCCCCCTCTCTGACAGCGAGTGCAGCGGCCCGCTGGGGCCCACTGGGAGCGTCTGGGGCTGTCCCCCGTT